CCTTTCTCCTAGTGGGGTTCCTGGGTGGCTCAGTGGTTGAGCATCTGCCGTTGGCATGTTCCCAAGGTCCTGGGATCAAGTCCCACATCCGGCTCCCTGTGAGGAGCCTGCCTCTCTCTCTGTGTCTCTCATGAATAAATAAATAAAATCTTTAAAAACAGAACAAACAAAAACCTTTCTCCTGGCTGTCTCTGAGGTTTGAAAGGAGGCTCTATAAATTGCTTAGCATTATGCCCAGTCTAAGGGATAAACTCAGTGTATGAAGTACAGTATTATTACCACTGGAAATTAGCCGGGAACAAAAGTCATCATAAAACAAGGTAAAATGTAAACAGTGTTGGGAGATGAAAAAGGCACAGCGTTGGGGCAGGGAGATGGCGGCCATGAATGTCCAGGGCGTTCAAAGGAAGGAAACATGGTATTTGCAAAACAGGCAGACAGAGATGTTGGAGGGTCGGGTATGTGGAGGGAACAGCAGAGACCCCAGCACAGATAGGACTCGTGTGGAGTCTGTTCAGGGAGCAGAGTGCAGCTGTGGTTGGTGTAGGGAACCCTGGAAGGGTAGATGAGAAAGAGACCAACTGGGTGTCCCCGGGGAGGGCTTCAGACTGCTGGGAGAGGGGTCTTTGTTGAATCTGGTGCATGATGGGGAGTCAGTTTGGTTTTTGAGCACGGAGGTGACGTAAGCAGGGTTGAGCTCTGAGAAAACAACAAACCTGGTGAGGATTATAGCAGAGAGCGACTGAGGGCGTGGGCAGGACAGAGGGCTTGAGTCATCAGATGCCGCCCCTGTCAGCTTCCAGGTGAGTGTGGGCTCTCCCAGAAGCACCTTCTCGGTGGTGGCCCGGCCTCTGATGGTCCTTTCTGGCTCGTTCGGTTTGCTGTACAAGAAGGCCCTCTGCAGGCAACCTGATGGCTACACTCAGAGGAGCGGAGATGATGCAGGATCTTAAAATCAATCCAAAGAACTGAGGGTGCAGACTTGAAAGGCCCATAAAACCCTGAACAAGTAGCAGCATGACAGAGGCGGGCGAGGTGTTGAGAGCAAGCGCCTCACCAAGGCACTGCAAGCATGTGGGACCAGCGCTCTCTATCTTCGATTTTCCAAAGGAAGCTTAAAAAAAAAATAGCTAGATTTTTAAAAATATATTAAAACACCTAGATTTCTAAATGTGAGCTTGTTTTAAAATAAACACCATGAGGGTCAAAGGAAATGTATCTTCAGGCTGGATGTGCTGTGAAGGCTGCATGTTTTCCACACACAACTTTCACCCAAAAGGGGAGTGTAGAGATCATCCTGAGAGTCTTAACTCCGCTTAACAGATGAAGACATCATGTGCCAAGGGCCCCGACAAAGTTAAACTATCACGCAGCTGGACCAGATCGCAGGACATTCAAGTGTCCATCCCTTGCATCAATCCTTTTAATGTTGCTTCCAGTTTTTGCCCCTTGGTGGGCCACTGTCATTGAGCATCTTTCTTTAAAGTGTATGTGGGACTTGGGGTAGGATTGTAAGGGTGATGTGGTGGGAAGGAGATTAAAAAATGTTTTCTGTAGATGGGGAAACCACGCATTCCCCATCCCCTCACCAAACTAAGCCAGGTGTGTCCCAATTAGGTGTGTCCCTTTTTCACAGGCTGGGGTCAAGTGTTCCCGAGTGACCTCCTCATCCTGGAGTCCTGAAGGTAAAACAGGGTTTTTATCTGAAGGTAAAACAGTCAACAGCCTCTCCCCAGAATGTACCTTCATCTGTCAGCGGGCACTGGAACCCTGTTCTGGCCCCGCCCTAGGGATAGTATGCAGATTTTTTTTTTTTAGATTGTGTTTATTTATTCATGAGAGACACACACAGAGAGAGAGAGAGGTAGAGACGTAGCAGAAGGAGAAGCAGGCTCCATGCAAGAAGCTCGATGCGGGACTCAATCCCAGGACCCCTGGATCATGCCCTGAGACACAGGCAGACCCTCAACCATTGAGCCACCCAGGTGTCCCAGTATGCAGATCTTAATAATCAGCAGATGATAGCAGGGAGTTTCTGTGGTTGATCTATGACAAAGATTATTATTTTATATAATTTAAAGAACTTTTTTTTCACTTGCATACAAACCACTTGGATATTATCTCTAAGCTCATCAAGAAACAAACCCCCTAACACCAATATTTTCCATAAAATATTGGGGAGCATTATCATACGGAGTTTAGATGTGGGGCTTTGGCATTAGGTCTATCTGTTCAAATCTAGGCTCTGCCACTGAAAGGCTAAGTGACCTTGACAAAGATTAGACTTTTCTCTTACCCTCAATTACACACAGTTGTGGATTCACTAAAATAATGCTAATAATGCTTTTCAAACATTGTAATTGGTAGCTATATTACACTATCAGTTTAACACGATTTTTGAGGAGATTCAATATTGAATTGATATTTTCATGCAATTTTAAAGATCTATACATGCCATTCTTTCCAGAAAGCTTGAAGCCTATATAATATCCTCTTAAAGATCAAAAGCACTGCTGGCTTGATACCTGCTTGACTGTGGTCCTAACCGAATTTCAATCTAAGTGATTTATGCTCCAGTAACACCTGAGACATAAAAATTATAAAGAAAAGCCATGAGATATATTATAAATGAGACCCAACTAAAAAATTCAATTCTCCTTGTTACCCTATAATCACACTCATAATCTATATGGGATGTTTCTTTGGAGGCTGTGGGTGTTGCCCACAATCTGGAATAGCCATCATGCTTAGTCTTGGCAGAGGGGTGAAATAAAACGGTGGGACTCATTCATTCAGGTGGATATTCTATAGGGGCCTAGCCTTTGCATTTTTAGGAAATGAACTGCTTGGCCTCTTGTACTCTGAGCTGTGCACTCATGGACTGAATAATTAACAGGAATCTGGAGGTGAATTTGGAAGATCTGCTCCTGAATGTGCTACTGAATAGGGCTGCGCCAAGATTTGGACAGAAATGTGGACTCACCCAGATTAGCAGTACCAGACTGACAAATTAAATTTCAACATTTCTAGTTCATCTTGGCAGATGCTAGTAATCTGATGTCATGCAGCCATGATGTAAGCCAGAAAGAGTGGTATTTTGCAATAGAAAGATTCTGGTAACCCTTCCCATGAATGTGGGTTGCAGGATATCAATATTTACATCACACTACAGAGAGTCTGTGACATTTTGCAATACCAGAAGTTAGATGGCTTACTCATGGTGTTCTGCAGACAAAAACTGTCCTTATGTCCAACATCAAATGCTTAAATTGCTGATGTTGGCCTTGTTATTTTCTTTAAAAAATTTTTTTCAATTACATATAAGGAACAGAAATCTTCTTGATGTCACCAAAGTGGACAATTCAAAATTAAAGGATTAGGTTTTGTATTGTGCCAGGAAACACTAAAAGATAACCTATGTTTTAATTTCATCTACTTCAAACATCACAAAAACATAATATGCAAAAAGTAATTTGGGATGGGGCACCTGGCCAGTTCAGACAGTAGAATATGGGACTCTTGATCTCAGGGTCATGATTTTAAGCCCCATGTTGGTATAGAGATTATTTTAAAAAAAAAGTAATTTGGGGAAAGAGGATACAATAACAAGTAATTAAAATTCTTTTTTGTAAATTTACTGGTTCACATATGACTGAAGTTACAGTGTTTGCTCCTACCCCTAGCATGGTCCAATATACTAATTAATGAAGCACTCATGAATATCGAGACTTAAGAATGTGTTCTCAAAGACTGAAGGATAGACACAGGAAGAAGACAAAACAGGAATTGAATGAAATCAATGAACTCCTGATCCAGTTTGATTTAGTCAAAGATGCCAGAAACATTCCCATTTCTTCCCTAAATGATCCACCTCACCTAATAATTCATGACTGAAAGCTGTAAAGGTAGTGCTGAGGCAGGGCTTCCCTGGCAGGCTTTTCCCAAGGTCTTTACTGCATACAGAGAAGAGGGAAAAAAAGACGAAAAATTTGCAAAACATCTTGTATGTTTTCTCACTCAAGTTCTACTTGCATATGTGAATATTGCTACAGGAATGCCAAGATTTCTCCCTGCAAAATTAAATCTAGGTGTTATGGGACCCGAAGACTATTTTGTATGATGGACCACAAACAGATGGCTTCTCTTAAGCCACACTCTACATTTCTGTCTCTCATGGGGTGAGGGAGGACATTTTATACCCTGAACGCACACTATTCCACAGTATTGGATTCTCTATTGGTCTCTGTTTTGCTTTGGCAATCTAGAGATTTTAATTCTCTGTCTGGTGTTATTTAATTTCAGTTATATTATGTTTACAATTCAGAAATATTTATAGACAGCAGATATTTATAACTTTTTAGGTTATCACCTCCCCAGATTCCGGCATTAATTCCTCTTTCCTTTCATCAGGAGGCAGTCCTTAATTAAGCTTTATTGCTTCTTCCTGGACTCTCCTTAGCTTTTTAACACCTTTTTGAAATGCCCAGGAAGAGCATAGCTTTCTAGGTGCGGTTGCTGGAGTCACTGGGAGGAACCTTCACCTCCCCACTTTTTGGTATGATGTAACCTTTGCATACTTTGTGAGGACAAGCAGAAAGTGCTGACACGCACTTCATCTGCATTAAATTCCTTATGGAGGAAAAACAAAGCTGGAGAAATACCTTCCACTCAAAGGAGACAGCCTGTAAAGTTTTGTTTAGGAGCGAGCGGAGGGACGCCTGGGTGGCTCTGTGGTTGAGCGTCTGCCTTAGGCTCAGGTTGTGATCCTGGGGCCCTGGGATCAAGTCCCACATTGGGCTCCCCGCATGGAGCCTGCTTCTCCCTCTGCCTGTGTCTCTGCCTCTCTCTCTCTCTGTCTCTCATGAATAAGTAGGTAAAATCTTTTTTTTTTTTTAAAGAACATTTGTGTTTGATTCTCTTTTAACCCATCTTGTGATCAGAACTGTTTTGCTTATCCACATCACAATGGAGGAAAACAAAGTCCGTAGTTTCAGACTGAATCCAAAAGAAAATTAGTAGATAACATTTATTCTTCAATTTCATATTTCACTTCCTTGCAAAACAAGTTTTTAATTAATCATTTTACAAACCAAACATTAAAATGCACACCTGAGATGATATCCAGTGGTGTGTCTGGGGATTAGAGGTGGCGCAGAGGACAGAGGTGGGGTTGAGAATAATCCCACTAGCAGAACAAACACGGAAAACACTTTCAAATTTTAAAGCTATCAGGGCCTTGTAGAAATAAAACCAAAGCCCAAAGAAATTAAAGGACCTGCACAAGACTATTCGACTTACAGGGAAGAAATAGGATTAAAGAGGAAGGACTCTAATTTAAAAACAGGCATTTCTGCCATTGTTCCATTATCTCTCGCTCTGTGCAAATCTGCTATCAAGTATCCAGAAATGGGAACAAAAGTTTCCAGATGCTGTTGGCTGATGAAAAAAATTCCTATAAAAAAAATTCCTATGTCCAGTTCTTCAGTTTCTATTTCAGGGCAAATGGTAGCATTTTATTTATTAGTAGAATTCTAGAATTTCAGCCAAAATGGGTAGTCACCAGGTAGTTCCACTAACAACAGGAAGAGGCGATGAACATAAACATTAGGGGAGCAGTAAGTCCAACACAGAGTTTTATAATCCATGCAGAAACAGAAATGTTTCGCCTACTCGGGACTCAATTTCCAGAAAGCTTTCAGTCATTAAAAACTCTAGCTTATTCCATATTTCACAGATAAAGGCTACACATTATTGTCGCAAGGTGGGCATGATGTATGTTTGCCTTGGACATGGCATTTTCTTTTTTCTGGTTTAGGCTTCAGGCACATGCTTGCATCCCTGGAGGGGTCATAATACTGACCTCATCTAGACAGTTGACATCACGTTCTTTTAGTTACCACGAAAGCAGCATGGGATGAGGTCCACAGAGCATGGATACAAAATACTGGCGGTAGCGAGGGCATGAAGAGCCCAAGCTTGGCACTGCTTTGACTTGCTGCAAGCTTGATCATTATTGCCATGAAAATTCACATCTGACATGGCCGGAAGCGTGAAACTCAGTCCTTCTGCAATCAGAACAATAAGCACATAACAACAGCAACAAATCCAGAGTAGGACAATGAACCTGACTTCTGTCACTGTAGCTTGTTCCCTCGGCTCCCATGGCGCCCTAACAATGACAAAGTCTGAAGACCGACGTTGAAATTTATTCCCTCATTTCATCATGATCCCAACTTCCGTTATTTTCCAGTCCAGTCAGCTTGTTGTTTCAGTTGAAGATTTCAGTTTGGGGCCCGCTGACTTTTATAAATGCCTCGTGAGAATTTCTTACAGAGGCCTCACAGGGGTCTTCCTCCAGAACAGATGTTGTAAGGTGATTTCAGTTTTAGACACCTAAAACAGAATGTTGGTTGCCATGTGAATCTGACTGCTGTCTGTATAATTCATTGAGAATGACATCTATCCTGTGGTATAGCTGTTGCTCCTGGTGTCCCCACCTCCAATCTGTGGGGTGGACCTACTCCCCTCCCACCCCTCTGGGGCTACACCTGTCAACAAGCTCACAGCTGCCTCCTTCTCCAGAGGACGGCCCTTGGCCAACAGGGCACTTAGCCTGAAGATTCCTGGGAAATTGCAAGCCCTCGCCTTCTTTCCCACCGGGAGCACCCTGCCACCCATGCTTGATGACATAGGGCACTAAAACCAAGATCTGGGATGCTTGGGTGGCTCAGCGGTTGAGTGTCTGCCTTCTGCTCAGGGCATGATCCCGGGGTTCTGCGATAGAGTCCTGCATCCAGGCTCCCCACAGGGAGCTTTCCTCTCCCTCTGAGTCTCTCATGAATAAATAAGTAGAATCTTTAAAAAAGCAAACAAACTCAAGATCCTTTACTCTCTTGGGAGACCGTTTATATTTGAGGTCTTCCTATGCAATTGGGCCAAGGCTAGACAGAGTGAAAGTCATGTCCTCATCTTTGCTCACTTTCTTCCTCTAGTCCATTTTTCCATTCTCCATACCAGGGTTCACTTGGAGCACACCCTCGGCCAATGACTTGCACAAGAATCCCCATCCTAGGTTTTGCTGCTAAGGAATCTGACCTCCAACAGTAGTCTTGTTAACATTAAAAGGTCAAGGGATGCCTGGATGGCTCAGCGGTTGGGCGTCTGCCTTTGGCTCAGGTCCTGATCTCGGGATGCAGGATTGAGTCCCACGTTGGGCTCCTTGTGGGGAGCCTGCTTCTCCCTCTGTCTCTGCCTCTCTCTGTGTGTCTCTCATGAATAAATAAATAAAGTCTTTAAAAAAAATAAAAATAAGTAAAGGTTACTTCCTATTTTTTTCTCTTCCTTTCTTGGTTTCTTAGGCAACTGACATAACGAAATCAATTGGCAGGACTGATTTTATATCAATTGATCTACAATTGACATAACAGATGTTCTTAGATGCCGTTACTAAGCAAACAATCTTTTTCTATTTTGTACAATCTGTTTTGGTCGTTTTAAAAATGGCAACTTAGTGAATAGGATACAGCAAAGGAAATGTATTTGCACTTTTTTCTTTAATGTAGCTCACATTTCTTGCCTTTTTCCTAGTTACATGGATTTAAGAAAAGATTACCAGTGCGGATAACACAAGTAATTTATACTTGTGGATCAAGCTTATTTTCTTAGGCTTTTAGCAGTAGACTAGAATCTCCTGAATAAACCCTCAACTGAAATCTGAAAAAAAAGGAAAAAAAAAGGCCCATGTTTGCCCTAGATTTTCTTTCTTTTTTTTTTCTTCTTCTTTTTTTTCTTTTTTTAAAGATTTTACTTATTTATTTATTTGAGAGAGTGAGAGGGAACATGAGTGAAGGGAAAGGCAGACTTTCTGCTGAGCAGGGAGCCCGATGTGGGGTTCAGTCCCAGAACCCCGGAATCATAACCTGAGGCAAAGGCAGACGCTTCACCGACTGAGCCACCTGGCTGCCCCTGCCATACGTTTTCATTCCTTTAATACTCATTTCTTGATTTGTTCATTCAGCAAATATTTACTGAGTGTCTACTGTATGCCAGGCACAGTATTTAGCACTGAATATATAATTGCAAACAAGACATGCTTTACCTCTTCTCTTGTGGGACCTCCTGTCCTCCTTACCTGTAACTTTGACGTGGGCAGACAGAGATGAGGATGTAGGGAAATTGTAAATTGGAGCTATTCTAATGCAATTGCAGTTAAATTTGTACTGCTTCTCTGTGTTTATAAGAAAAAGCATCAAAACAAATATGAGGAAATTGCCATATCTGCAGCCATTTTTACTAAAAAATTATACATGTCAGTACTTGGTACATCATAGGGGCTCAGTAAATATTCATCAAGTGAACAAGTGCCCAGTGACTTCCTATTTTATTTTTCTCATACCTCTTTCTTATGTAGCAGTAAAAAATAGCAAGAAAACCACTTAATAATAATCCAACGCCGATCCCAATTGCAATGTATTTTTCGTAAGAATCCACAGCATATGAAGTTAAGGTCAAGTGCTCACATCTTTCTCCAGTATAGCCAGTAAAACACCTTTAAAAAAAGAAAAGAATATATAATTGTAAAACTCATAGTGGTAGAGATATAAAGAAATGACCAATTTCAAAGAATGAAAAATTTCCACAGAGTGTAATTTAAAGCAGAAAATGCCAAATGAAAGCCAACTGTTAAATGTATTGAAGAAGCTCTGTATTTCACAATAATCAAATCGTTAAAGCCCCATATATTTTTTTAAAGCCCCATATTACTGTAAGTTCCCTCATGGGTAGAGGGGCAAGGTAGTCCACTTCCATGGGTTGATCAAGAAAATTGCTAATCTGCTCTTTCATGGGAGAATGCCTAGCAAAGCAATGATCATAAAAATAGTACTTAATTGCTCTAGAACTTTATATTCCTGTAGTGTGTTGCTATAGAGTCTTTTTCACCTCATTCTGTAATCAACCAACCCCGTGAAAACTCCGAATCATCCTTGCATACTGCTAAAGTGCACATTTGGACTCAGTAGTTTTGAGGTGGAGCATAAGCTTCTGCATTTCTAACAAGCTCCCAGGTTACACAGAAGCTGCTAATGTGGGAACCCTACTTCTGAGTAATGAGGATTAGGTAGTTTAGAGAAAGACTCCTTAGATATTCAAATACAGTGAATCATGTTCAGATGATGTACCCTTTTTACTAGATAAGAGAGAGGCGTGTGGAAATGTGCTATGTGAAACGCATAGAAACATGTGAAACATAAATTCATCTCCTCCCATCTCTAGGACTTGGAAAGTTCTTTGCAATTACGTGCAGATGGCTTTCTCCAGCTCGTGGTGGAATGCGCAAACACCGTTGATGCAGTAACTATTGTGGTCTTCCAGGCAAGGATGTGAGAACCTCAAGGCTATGGGTCCTTCCGTGTAGTCAACTAGGAAAAGGACATACAATGTTAACAGATGAAGTGGGTCATACTTTTATAGTATATTTGTCACACATATGTAAAGAGATCTTTAATTTTAAGGGTATTCTTTGGGTGCTCTGCCTTTTAAGCTGTTGGCTAATTCGGTCGGCAGGTTGTACTCACAAAGTTTAGGTAAATGTCATTTAGACATATTATTAATTAATTAAGGGGTGGAGGTGGACCCATGAGCTGTTCTTTAGAAGCTGCACAATGAGGTATAGATACAAGTTTGCCAAAAGGTGGCAGCATTGATTCTCGTTTTTTAATTCTCCGCTTTACACCTAAGGAGTCAGCACGTAGGAAATTTGGGTTTACAGAGATAATGCACTTGAGAAGATGACCTCTCCTGTGGACAACCACTTGAGAAGGTAACTGCAAAGGGAGCACTGAGCCTGATTTCAGAAGAGGCATTGTTATGACCTATACAAGAAGCCAGAAATAAGTTACAGCTCAAGCTTCACGGAGTTGAGACCACACCTTTGAATATTAATTGGAAATTGTACTCAGTTAAGAGGCGTTATGAGATAGTGGGGAAAGCCCTCGAGACAGATAGAATGAGAAAATCTGGGTTTTGTCTTCTAACATCATGCAAACGACCGCATCTGGCAAAACTTTTGTGGTCAAGTGCCAGAAGTCTCTATGGGAAGTTTCCCTTTGGCATAACGCAAACGTTTCAGGATGCTTACTCCTTGTTCCCTGAGGTACTGAAGATACAGGCCCGAGCCAATCTTGGGGTATATGCAGTGGGAATGACACTTGAGTCCTGTTTGGTAAAAACCTAATTACTGATTCTTAAATTTGTCTCAAGCATAATTAGTGGCATTTTATTTTGTCATTGTTATGAATAAACATATTTCCTCATCCTTAGTTATCATGTGACATCGTATTTGCCTTGCTAAGTAGATTAACAGAATCCTACTTACATGTTTTTAGGGGAAAAAAAAAGATCTAAAAAGGCGTATTTTTTTATATTGAAAATACTAAATCTTAGGTAAGCCGCCAATAAGATACTGTCATATAACTTCATTTTGGTTGAGAACACACAACGTTACCTTAAAATTCACCTTCATTTTTTGAATGTGGTGTTGTGAATCTAGTATCTCATTTTTTTTAGTATCTCATTTTAATAATTAACTGTAAGCTAGTAAGAATTTCCCTTTATAAACTGTGTTAGGTTCTTCCTGCTTCAAGACTAAATAGATTGAATGAACCAAGCCTGAAGCAGGATTTGCTAGAAAATATGAGAATTGAAAGGAGATATCTTCAAACAAAGAGTATGCTGGAGAGCCTCATCTTTCTCCTAAGGAGAAGAATGTTAGTTATAAATTTATTAAACATTTCCTGAGGTATTGGATGCAGATTTTTAAATTAAATTAAAAAGGGGAGGGCAGCCCAGGTGGCCCAGTGGTTTAGCGCCGCCTTCAGCCCAGGGTGTGATCCTGGAGACCTGGGATCTAGTCCCATGTCGGGCTCCCTGCATGGAGCCTGCTTCTCCCTCTGCCTGTGTCTCTGCCTCTCATGGATAAATAAAATAAAATCTTAAAAAAAAAAAAAAAAAGGAGGGGGGGAGGACTGAAGCTCTCCATCAAGAAAGCAAAGGAAACCTGTAGAGATGATATTTTCTGTCCCCTGTTTTCTATTATTATTGTCTGTAACTTGGAAAACTTTCACTACTAAGGAAGTAAAAAGGTGGTGCTGGGTGCACTGTTATGAAGTAAGTCACTGAGGGAAACTTGAGTTTTCTGTAGTATTTATCTGCCGGTGAAGAACTTTTCTCTTTGCTCAAAGGCTCAGGGGACATGAAGAAGTTTGGCTAAAAATTATTCTAAAGCTCACCCTGATTTTGTTTTGCAAATGGATAGATATTCAAACGTCAAATGGGCAAAATATTATAAGTAAATTATTTTTAATTTAAAAATTATTGGTGAAGTGAGGAATGTTTAAATATTACTTGCCTTCATATTCAGGAACAAAATATCTATCTGACTTGATTTTTTTATTTGCCTGGCTCTGAGAGCAAGATATGGTGTCTCCTCTGTCCTGTGTCACATTACCAATCTTCACAAGGGGGGGTGGGTAGTGATTTGTGTGAGAACCATCACCACCTGGTAACAGGTCTTGGCAGGTAACAAGTTTTCCAAGTTCACCTCTGAGAGTTCAAACAGGCTTAAAAAAATACTGATGCTCAACAACAGCCAGAAGCTATTCTAATAATAATAGTCATAGTAATAATATAGGAAAGAAAATATATCATCAAAATTGGGTCTAAGTGGTTAGGACATATAGCGTAGGCTAAATAAAACAACAACAAAAGGTCCCCAAAACAAAACAAGAAAAAAGATCTTTCCAAAGATGGATTATGGCTTCATTTTGTCATAATTTCTTTGGCTTCCAAGTCCTGGTCACAGATTAAAAGACGATATCAAAACACCAGTCATCAAGAATGCCAAAAACGGCGACAAAGTGCCTCAGGACATGCATGGGTTATTGGGAACCAAACAGGAGCCAAGCAGAAAATGTGGCATGTTTCACATTCAGGGCAGTAACTAAAGACAACTTCTGTGTCTCTCATTTCCTTTACTTGCCCCAAAATTTTAAAAAGGCAATTCTTTGCTGGCACATTTGCCTGTCACTTTCATTTAATTGCATTGTGCTAAAAGAACTGATTACTAATAATAAAATATTATTAAAAACGTCCAACGTTGCTTTTTATCACAATCCAAATATCTCTCAAAGATAAAAAAAAAAAAAGAAAAAGTCACTTAAAATAACAAAAGTGTAAAGAAAATACCTTCTGTTTTGTTAGCTGTCCAGTTACTCTGCTGGATTGTGGTTGGAGGTGTTCCCGGCATGGCTGCCTCTTGAGTCAGGGCCGTCATTGCTATATGAAGGGGTGGGGGAAAGGCATCTTTAGCAGGTGAGCCTCCTATGTGCAAGCCACAGATCAAATGTTCTGCACAAGTCACAGATCAAAAATTAGTCTACTTCTTCCCATTTGTGTCCATTCTTAATCCATTTACATGTGAGATCCAAAACCTGACAGGGGTAGTTTCCTGACAGTTTCCCATCCGTACCAATTCTAGTGGCTACCTTACAATTCCAAAAAATAGAAATACGTTAACTCTTAAGAGGAAGTGGGTACATGTGTATGGTGATTCAGCCACAAGGATACCATGGCATAGTAGTTAGAATATATCAACTGCTCTTCGGCTGTATGGAGCAAACACACAGGTCTCAAAAAAGGGGGTATCCCAACCTGTTAGGAGCCAAATCTACACTACATAAGGAACTCAATTAATTCACAGATTCCTTGCTCCCTTCTTTGTCACGGAAGACGACTGTTAAAAGCCAACTTCTCATTAATTCGTATTTTACAGGGATACAGAATGAACAAGGCAAAAAGGAACTACCTACCTTTGAATAAGAGATAGACAGATACTGGGACTCCGAAAGCCATTTCCTGCTGCTGCTAACAGTGTCCTTCTTATCCTCCTAGACTGACGGTGGAAGGTTTTTAATGCTCTCTCCTGAGTCTTTCTTGCATTTATATTTCATGAAGCGTCATCTGCTAGTTCTTACCAATCAAAAAAATATGTACTTCTGGCAGCAGCTGTAGGTAGAGCCCTCGAGGCGCTCACGCACTTGTTTAGAATACCCGTGCTATCTGGCAATGTGATCAAGTTTTCTTTTGAAACACTGGTTTCCTGTTACCTGTGGGCATAATCGTGTATGTAAAAGTACTTAAAACAACAAAAAAGAATCTAAATTCGGGAAAGGCCCCATTGCCGGAACAGACTTGTGCCAGCTCCAAAGTTGCCAGCCACCTACCTAGGATGCCCACAAAGGAGAGTTCTGATATTTGCAAACCAGGAAGCAGCATCGCCGGGATATGAATCAAACATCTCGAAACTGTTGTCAGTGACACCACCTCTGGCACAGAGGCCATATTCCACTGCAAGTTCAGATAGTCTGTAATTTAGGGGCAGGAGAGAAAATGAAATTTGGGTGAAAAGAGAGGTTTCATACTCCATTTTATTTTTTGCTACTTTGTTTTGCCATTACAAGTTCTGTAAAAATGATTATTTTTAACAGCGTAACATTTGCCTTTATGTCATTCTGCCATTTAAGAAGTTTCTGAGTAAATGGATCAGGCTACCAGTTTCCTTAGAGCTACAAAGCTTCAATCTATGCTCGATTAGGCTAGAGAGAACCAGTAAAGTACCAAAGTGATGATGATGATGTCATCTCCTCTAAGATAAAATATTGAGGTTTGGTATGTCTAGTGAACAGAAAGTTTTTAATGTAACATGACATTCAAATTTTTCTCACTGTTAATCTAGTTATGATTATTAAAATGCCATTTGAAAGGCCAAAAATGTGATTACTCCTATTAGATTTTGTGAATATAGAGAGCCTCCCGTAAATTTTCACTTGCCCCAAATTATTATAAAGAACTTCTACAAACATGGTTTACTGAGGCGTTGTGCCTTTCTACCAGGAATTTCAATTGCTTGTATTTTCTGTGCCTTGAAAACCTGTTGCTAAGATAGGTTATCATTTGCATCGTGTCCATCCAGCAAATTTGGTTTACCAGAAAGGATCTCTTTCACTACCGAAATATGAATTTGGCTTTAGAAATCACACAAGAATGAGCTTGTTGTGAACTCATTATAACTTGGGCAATCACCACAGGAGTCCTCATTTTACAGTTAAAAGAATATATAGCACTTGGCTCACTTTAAATGTGCATACGTTTTGTATTTCCACTTTTGTGGATTTTTAAAAACTCCTCATTATTAAGACAATTCTGGATAATATTTTTTCCAGGCAAATCATATTTGAATCATAAATCAAATAATCATCCTCTGCGCCACTGGTGTGAATTTAAGAAGACTAACATTTACAAAGGATTAAATAAACCCTTATGACAAATTGCAGTCTTTGGAGGGAAATGCTAGGACTGATGTTAAATATCTTTATTCATAAGACTAAGACATAGTACAACAGCCATCTTGGTTGTAATTGTTTCCATGGCGCTTTTGCATTTTGCAGGAGGCTTTCGCACGCATCTCAGTGATTTCTTCAGTAATCCTGGCCCCAACGAATCCAGCGCCTAACATATGCTATTTACCTAATGAATCCATCTGAGTCAATAAAGAAATAAACAACAGGCATTGCTTCTATTCCCTTGTGACAACGGAGGGATGGAGGCTCAAGAGAATTGAGCAATGCACCAGAGGATATGCCCTACAGTCAGGACTGGAATCTGCGTTCGGATTCCAGATCACATGTCCTTTCTACTTTCCTAGCTGTGTTCTCCGGTAGGAATCCGTAATACTGATCTCAGAGGAATTCTCTGAATAATCTCCTAAAAATCAAACTTTGAATAAATCACCTCTCTCCTAAGAATTTAAATATTCAATGAACTGTGGCTTTCACATACATTTGGGCTGAAAGGAGTGGCCCATGCTCTTTCCTGATGTTCCCCTACTCTGGTGCGGTGAGCCACATAACACAGAAACTCGCTTACACTTTCCTGAAGACTTATACTCCAACAAAATAGCTCTAGTCTGCTCACACGTGTCTCGCCTCTGGGACTCATACTGGGACTCATACTGCTGGACCCCGTTTACACTCTCTTTAAGAGAGTCCCCTCTTTCAACCCTCTCACGAAAAGTGCCTTTCCCAATCCTGAAGACTGGGCAAGATGGGCACTATAAGGGGGCCTCCCTATCTTCATTCTTTCTTGATACATATTTGGAGCAACCTGCTCCAAGAGAAAGGGGAAAGAAGGCTAAGTACACTGCACTTTCATTCTTCCCTTCTACCACTTTTTCTGTCTTTTTAATGTATTCATCTCTCTCCTCTTGTCATAAGCATCTCTGAAAGTGTCTTCCCTCCACCTCCTTTCCCCACTCCTCCTTCCCCTCCCTTGTCTTTTTTTTTCCCCTTTTTTTCTTCTTTCTTGCTTTCACTAATTCAACAAAAATGTTGCTAGACATTGGCAGGAAATCAGTCCATTGCCTTATCTCTCTCGAAACTTATTCTGTGATTCTCTTGGGTGCAGTTGCCATTCATTCATTCATTCATTCACTTATTCATTCATTCACAAAATATCGAATGCCTAGATTATCCATAGCACTGGGCTGGATGTGCTATTAGCAAGACAGACAAATCATGCATGGACTCTTTCAGGTGCTGAAGGGAGTTAAGGAAAGTGCATACATAACTACAAAACTAGGTAGGAATTGATAAGTGCTGCGAATGTCTGCAGAAATAGCTGTGGGAGTTCAGGGGTGGGACTTGGTCAAATTCTCATGGCAGCTTTCATGAACAAGTTTCATTTGAGGTGAATCTGGAATAACAAGTAAGATTTAGATGTGTAATAAGAGAAAGGACTCCGGGGGGTTGGGGAGGGCACTGAGGGAAGCAGTGTGGTGTAACGGAGAGTGAGCTCTGGCTCATATCATCCCAGACCTTGTTTTGAATTCCAATCCCACATCTACTATCCATTTAGCCCTGGCTGGAGGTTTTTAATAATCCCAAGGGTCAATTTTTCTCATCTGTCAAATGGAGATTGTCAATAACAACAAGAATCCGTAAAGCATTTAGCACATGCCAGGTGCTCTCTTAAGGATAGCTGTTACAAAAATAAATAAATAAATAAATAAATAAATAAATAAATAAATAAATAAATATAAAAGGATAGCTGTTACGATTGAACAAGAGTAGAGGGACTGAGGGGGTGTATAATGGTCAACAAGGTCAAGAATTTAGTGGTTGATACATGGAATGGAGGGGCGCCTGAGTGGCTCAGTCGGGTTAAGCACCTGCCTGTGGCTCGCCATGATCTCAGGGTCCTGGGATGGCCAGGCATCAGGCTCCCTACTCAGCTGAGAGTATGCTTCTCCCTCTCCCTCTACCCTTTCCTCCCTTCCCTCAGCTCATGCTTATATTCTCTCTCTTTCTCACACTGTCTCCTTCTCTCAAATAAATCAATAAAATCTTGAAAAAGAAAAAAAAAACCCACTACAGTACTGAGTCCTAAATTTTCATTAGTCTCTTCCCAGACTGATGTTATGTCAGGACTTCTCTTTATGTATCATGTTATCATCTGTTACTCTTAAGTTAAACATAGTCTCTCCTCCAGAATCAGCTCCCTTTTACACCTTCCTTGTGATAATTAGTGATAACATCTTCCAGGGTCTAACTACAATTCTCCTAACTCATTAAACATGGTCTGAATTATCCAGGTACTCTCTAATCTATCCAGTTGGGCTTCTACCACTCTCCAACGTACGCTTCTCATTTTAGTCTGACTCTTGCTTTCATAGATATATATATGCCAAACTCATTCTCACCTCCATATCTTTGTATGATTGTTCAATCCCCTTACTTCTTCAGGGCCCTTTTTATAGATACTCGCAGGAGAAGGAAGGTTACTTCTCCAAAGCTCCTCCTATCTACATGGCCGTGATATATCTATCTTTCATGCAGTCCAAATACCCATAAATAAAGTCATGGTACCAACAAATCAACTTTATCTCCTTTATGTATTGACATAGGCTTCCTTCTTGACTGAACTTCAGTCATATTCCTCTGAGTCTTCTTGACTCGGCCTGCTGAGCCCCGTTTTAGCAAAGAATGCTGCTGAGTCAGTTAATGAAGACCTCCCTCCCCACCACATCTGATCAGTTGAATCTTCTCTATTGCAATAGTCTTGATCCCATTGCAATAGTCCTGGATAAAGTCATCCTTACTATTTTTAACAAATGTCAGAACAATTTTTCCTTTACAGTATTTTAAGTCTCTAGAAAGATTCACTCCTGAATTTATCCTAGCCAAAGGTCAGAAACCTTCCAAAAATAACTCCTCCTGTACTTTGAAGGGTTGGAGGTGGTAGGCTCAAAACTGCAGACTTCACCTTTTGCAGGTACCTGTACTTTGGGTCATTTTGTCTGTTTGGGGAATTTGGGGCCCTTAAGAATAAAATAGGCCCTTTCTGAGATGTTTGCTTGGAGCTTTGAATTTAAAATCTGTTGGCGTTATCAGACAAAGATTGGTCTGGACTGATTGTAGAATGGGCTGTAGAACCTTTTCTTACATGCTTAAAAAACCTGTACATTTCCTCAGCATGTTGGTAAAGAAATAGGTAACAATTCTACTCCTTTTAAAAAAAATATTTTACTTATTTATTCATGAGAGAGAGAGAGAGAGAGAGAGGCAGAGACATAGGCAGAAGGAGAAATAGGCTCCCCAAGGGGAAGCCTGATGTGGGAATACTTCCCAGGACCTCGGGATCATGACCTGAGCCAAAGGCAGATGCTCAACCAGCATCTGAGCCACCCAGGTGCCCCACAATTCTACTCCTGAAACTAATTATTACACTGTATGTTAACTAACTGGAATATAAATAAGAACTTGAAACTACAGGGATCCCTGGGTGGCGCAGCGGTTTGGCGCCTGCCTTTGGCCCAGGGCGCGATCCTGGAGACCCGGGATCGAGTCCCACGTCGGGCTCCCGGTGCATGGAGCCTGCTTCTCCCTCTGCCTGTGTCTCTGCCTGTCTCTCTCTCTGTATGTCTATCATAAATAAATAAATAAAAATTAAAAAAAAAGAACTTGAAACTACAAAAAAAAAAAGAAGAATAAGAAGAAGGAGAAAGAAATAGGTAACAAATATATAACAAAACCCCCCACAAATATCTTAAGGAAAAAAGACAGGTATTCTTCAAATTGCTTTTATTATACAGTTGAAATATTATTAATTATAAGTATCTAGTCTATTTTCACACAATTGATCAGAAACACACACTGATAAAGACATGCACTGGGTAAGAATCACTGTTGGTGCATAAACACACTGGAATTGGACATGAAAACAATACAATGAAGTGCTTAGGGTAGTCTCAGAATAGCCTTCAACTGACATTCATGTGTATTTCCTAATTTAAATGGCGTTAGAAATATGGCATCTACTTTGAGAACCAAATGCCATAGCAGAAGAGGTAAGAACAGTGGGGAACAAAGCAGTAGACTTTTTGTCATAGCCTAAGACTTAGCTTTGGCACATTTTGTTAAGTGTCTTATTTTTCTATTAATTTCTGAATCTGTGAACAAACCTGACAGTTTTTCTTTAATGCAGTTCTCACTCATTCTATACTATATTTTTCTAATATTTGTGGGAAAATACAACCATAGCTTTGTTGTATATGTTTGGTTTTGGATTTTCCATTATTCTTCAAGGAAGGTATTATCCAAATATTTTTCTAGAATAAGAAAGAAATTACATGTAAACCTAACATATTCTTATCACATTTTTACCATAGAAAGTAGTCATTGCAATTTGAAATGATCATTACCTTTCTAAGTGGCTCTGCATTTTTTGCCTTCTTTGTTTATTTTTCTTTCCTTGAATAGAGTATCATTTCTCATTAAGGGGCCTTATAGGATCCATTTGAGGAATATATGAGATCAAGATCTTACTTTTAATATTTTATCTTTCTTTTAGCAAGTAAGCTCTTTTTCAGCATACGATAAACAAAATATATAAAAACTGAGCATACTTATGTCAAAACCTAAATTACATTTTATAAGGGCACCCATTTGGCTGACAGGACATTTGTTGAAAACATAGTGTGATATTTGTGTCAAAAATATATTCATTTATTATGAGCCCTTTATTGTTTAAAACTATGAACAAATATTATTCACAAAATAAACCGCTGTTACCAAAGCTTTCACTGGAATTGTTTTTTTTTTCTCCCTAAAACTCAAAATCTGTTAGCAGGAAATGCATCAAGTTGTATGAATCATCTGATCCACAATGATTCCATCCATGAAAAAATAAATACAATGTAGAAATAAATAGCTTTGTAGTAAAATATAAAGATGTTTGCCCTTTGTCAAATAAATAAATAGCATGATTTCATTTTGTTTTATTCTTTCACGTGATCTAGTAAATGAGTTTTTTAGCTGCCAGAAGGGTGTTCTTCAGAAGCATTGCCACCGTCATGGGTCCCACGCCTCCTGGAACTGGAGTGATATAGCTAGCCTTCTTCTTAACAGCTGATGGAGAAAACAGAAAGCCATCTTTATTTTTAATTTTTTCATATTTTTAAATAAACTGAAGTGTTAAAAGGTAAACAGAGGTGTATAAAATTTTTTAAAACATTTTTTAAAAAGTAATCTTTACATTCAACATGGGGCTCAAACTTGTAACTCTGATACCAAGAGTTGCATGCTCTGGGCATCTGGGTGGCTCAGTTAGTTAAGCATCTGCCTTGGGCTCAGGTCATGATTTCAGGGTCCTGGGATCAAAAGTCCAGTATCCAGCTCCCTGCACAGCGGGGAGCCTGCTTCTCCCTCTCCCTCTCCCTCCCCCTCTCTGTCTCATGCTTTCTTTTGTGTGCTTTCTCTCTTTCTCTCTCAGATAAATAAATAAAATCTTAAAAAAAAAAGTTGCATGCTTTACCGACTGAGCCAGTCAGGTACCCCAAAAATTTTTAAGAGTTTATATTATCTATTTGAATTGGATAGCAGTGAACTGGAAGTAGTCAGGAGCACTCTACCAACAAGAGGCTAGTGAGCGACTTTTAAGGGAACAGGTGGAAACAAAGCAAGGTCATTCAATAATGACCTTTCAGTTTTGGCTATCACTTAAAAACTCAATTGCCTGTTTGTGACTGGTTGTCCTTCAGTTTTGATTTTGTAACCTTGAGGCATTTTTAGGCTTAGATTTTGGTTGGCTTACATGGGCTGCCATGGCATTAGAGCCATATGAATCTAAAAGCCTCCTTGTTTAATTAATTTAACAGAATATAGTGGATTTTTCTGCATTACATATATAAGTCTAACAACCTCAAAACACTGTCAGAATAAGGTAGCCTATAAATACTCACACACTTGGACAATCCTGTGTATGATACCTAATCAGCCTAAGACTGTAGGTTGAATCTCCATGCAGTTAGTTTTACATGATTTAAAATCTATAATCCATGAGTGACCCAACTACCTTTAATTCTAGTTAACTACTTCTAAAACACATGATATTAGTAACAAAGGGGGAACAGGATATAGACAGTTCAGCACACACCATTTGTTAAATTGATAAATTCCTGTTCTAACAACAGCATCATTTATGTGTGAATAATACATTCCCAGTGCAGTCTAATAAAAATCATCAAATATATTTGAATTACTGAGCATATACACATAGTCCTGTTCTAAGGTATGCAGACTCCTTATTCAGTGAATAGACTCAAAGAAAACGACAGAGAACTTTCAGCAAGTCTTATTTAAGAATGTTTTCACACCCACATTATTACACGTGAATGGTCCCCTGCTTTGACCTGCTGGTTTTATGCTTTGTCATGTGAATATGAACAATGAAGTTTTCCCAGATAACTCTTTTATTGTCAGTTAGCACAGACAATACTTCTTTAACACATACTCTGACATTATTAGTTCACATGTTACTTAGATGCATCGCCTTTTACAAATTTTGCTCGTATACGCTTCTATAGGAATCAAAACTAACAACTTGGGCCCTGGGTGGCTCAGCTGCTGAGCATCTGCCTTTGGCTCAGGGCGTGATCTCGGGACTCCGGGGATTGAGTCCCACATCAGGCTTCCTGTATGGAGCCTGCTTCTCCCTCTGCCTATGTCTCTGTCTCTCTCTTTCTGTGTCTCTCATGAATAAATAAAATCTTTTAAAAAAAAACTAACAGGTTTTCTAGATCTCAAGTATTATTTTTGTACGATTTATGTTGCCTTCTAGAAATAGGGTTTGTAAAGTTTACACTTACCTTTATTTGAAGTCTAGTAGTACTCTAGAATGTTTTTTAATCATAGGAAGAGCAAAGGAATAATATTCTTTTGCTTAAGTCCAAATAGGCTTAAAGACATCACCAAAAGAAAAAAAATCCAGTTTGTATGTATTATCAATCATGGTATGTAACAAAGAAAAGATAAGAATACTTATGATTTGGAAGGTAATGGATTCGTTTTCCAAAAAGCTTCTCTACACACAAACGTGTCTTTTCCCTCATCACACTTCCATCCAATGTCAAAGTCTAGGCTAGGTCAATAGCCATTTCACAAATAGCTATGAATTAGCAATCCTTCCTTGCTTTGCTCTAGCTATTCCTTCCACCTGGAATACTCTTCTACTTTATCCAAATAAGAAAATCCTTATTTAAAAGCCAATAAAATGTTACCTGGCTATAGTTTTTCTCAAAAACTCACCCCTCCAATGTTGAATTAAAAGCCCCACCACCTGTATTTCCAGTAACTTTAAAATCAATCTGCAGGAATGTGTCAGTGGATACAGACAATTTATTTCAAGCTAATTTATTGAAAAACTCAAGCTACTAATTTGCTTGATCATGACAAATTGCCCCTTCCCCCCTTTTTAATAAGCTGACTTGATAGCATGACCAGTGCCTTCCAGGACTTTTTCTACAGAATTGGAAATGCCATGCTTTTACAATATCAGTGGATCTCTGGCAGAAATGTACTATGCTATGACTATTTACTCTGGTAGTACTTAAAATTATGTATTTGTAAAGTCCTGAGTTTGAAATACTAAAGGGTAAAAATAAAAGACTACTGGTAAATGAAGAATCAAGTACAAACTAACTGCAATGGAAAACAAAATTATTCATTTCACAGTCAAAAGGTAGATAAAATTCATCATGTCAGGGGATCTGCTGTAGGTAAGGTCATTTTATATAATTTGGTTTTCAACTTTGAAAAGTAAAGTGGCTTGAAATTATGCATATAAAGATAATATTAACCATAGCTACTATCAATTAAATACCTACTACTTGCCAAGAACTTTACAAATATTATTGTGATAATCCATATGGAATTATTATTTCATCTTAATATATGAAGAAAGTGTTTCTCCCTGCAGTTAGAGTGACTTACCACTCCCTTATATGGTGGAGATGCTATCTACAGCCCAGTTGGAAACATTCTACGATTCCATAATTCCACCCCATCCCAATGCAACTGTATTACCATGACCTGAATAAGTAGAAAAGTCCCAGGAAAGAAAAGTCCCAGGTGCCAAAATTTGATGCAGTGCTCTCAAAGGGTTTGGAGGATTGTCTGAAAAAAGATATAAGGAGGGAAGTTCTAATAAAGTAACTTTCCTACATTTTTCCTCTGAGTACTCACAGCTCATCATCTCTGAATTACATCCAGCACTTCAAATTACACAGCTGGCTTAGCAGTCTGAGTTGCTTTCTTCCTGGGTGTCAGATCAGATAAACCACTGGTCTGCTCAGGTACCATGACACTCCTCTTCCAAATTATGTTTTTCACAACATGCTTATGTTGCATTTTTTTTGCTCAAAAAAGTGAGGTTTGGGGTGGAAGGACAGAGGAATGAGGATGAGCTGTTGCACAAAATAACATCTGCCTGAATCTGTAGCTTATGTCTGCTTTTTTGCACATTCAACTCGTAGAAGGTAACACACATTTACCTTGCCTTACCTATCACTTCATAGAAACACTGTATGAGGGGTAGTGGGCCTTTACCTGCCCTGGGCAAGGGCTTCTCTGGACATTCACAAGCGCTCAGTGGCACCAACAGAGCCCTGAACATTACTCACTAGGCAGAAGATTATATCACTATGAATACCCCTGGCTATCAAATATTGTTCTTTTTTTTAATTTTTGAAAGAAAGTGGGTGAATATGAAAATTAAGTCTGTACACAGTCACGAGAGGTCAACTGTGATGAATTTGATGGAAAACAACCCATACAAGGTCTCCATCCCTTTTGAGTTTCATGAGAATCTATATCTGAGAAAGAAATAGAAGTTTATTTGCTGCTGGCTAGGGTTAATGTATCATCTATTTACAGAAGAACCAGGATATGGAGGTACTGATTTCTCAAGTAAGGTAGGGAATTATCATTGGCAAATGCCAGGGGGTAAAGATGCCAATTCTTAAAAGAAATTCTCTAGACTGATGATTTTGCATAACTATCTCAGGGTTGTCCTACCTGACATATTTATGAAGCATCAGAAGTGGCTTGTGAGCTTAAATTAGTCTTGTGAGAAAGAGTTAAATTCAAAATGTCTGATGCTCTGAAAAGCATCTTCCCCAATCATGTCTGCAAGAGCGAAAGTTAACAAGCATTACATCACCAGAAAAAGCTCTCCTTGGCTGGTCTTTCCCTAAGGGCAGACAGAGGTTTGCACCTGCTTGTAGAAGATGATGCTTTTAAAGATTAATCCTAGGGATCCCTGGGTGGCTCAGTGGTTTGGTGCCTGCCTTTGGCCCAGGTCGCGATCCTGGCGACCCGGGATCGAATCCCACGTCGGGCTCCCGGTGCATGGAGCCTGCTTCTCCCTCTGCCTGTGTCTCTGCCTCTCTCTCTCTCTCTCTCATTCTATGTGACTATCATAAATAAATAAAAATAAAATAAAATAAAGATTAATCCTATTACGTGTGAGGAAAAGTGTTCTATATGCTATATTGAAAAGAATCACAGAAGCACTTTAAGGCAACAATCTCCTTCAGAGACTTATTTATTCTGTGTTTAGGTGTAAGGGAGTATATGTGTATGTTAAGGAAAATGCCAAAAATTCTGTATGTATGAAAACCAGGTACAGGATCCTCCCAGCAATCCAAAAAAAAAAAACCTTTCTTACGCCATGATGGAGTAACAGAAGAAGCATATACCATTAATTTATAGGAGAAAATTTTTGAGCATTCTTAGTCCTAAAAAATAACCTTTTTGGCTTTTCTGACATCTTAGGACATATCTTGCTAACAGATGTGCAAAATAAATGGGGAGAAGCCTAAGTGCTCACAGACACAGTTCACAGCTCTGGCTGCTGGATACTGACATGCTGAAGTGTAGTTCCCAGGGAAGGAGCCTGGTGGGGCCCCTCTCCCTGCTGGGGGTGTGCACTGCCTCTGTGCACACTGTACGTCAGATGCTCACTGTGAAGCAAATACTGAATGCTTTTGGCTTTGCACCTATTCTTTGTTGTTGTTGTTGTTTGCTTTTTTCAGAAAAGCTAAAAACCTCGGATTTCTTTCACTTAGTGA